TGCATTTCTTTTGGGCTCTCTTATATCTCTGGGTTTGGCTCTTCAAATATTGATAAGTCTGTCGTTGAAGGCGTTACTAACAACGTTCTATTTGCAAAAATAGTATTATTTAAAATTTAATTCAGTCCTACTTCTTTGAATAATAACCATAATATCTTCAAATACCTTTCATATTGTCTTCGGGTAATATTACCATCGACACGTTGTTGAAAATAAATATGTCTCAAATAAGGAGTAATTAATTGTTTTTTGGGGCAAACTTGTTTCAGAAACAAAGTTTCTAAAATTCTGATTGGTCGACCAGATAGATCATGAATGTTAACTTGCACACTTGTATCTGTAATTTTATAAGCTTATAATTAAAAAAAAATAAAAAATATTACAAAACAAAATAGAAATTATAATACCGCGCCAAGCTTCCGGGTACCCAAATAGATGACGTGGAGGCATATAAGTTTTGTAAAATATGATGTTGGTTATAAAAGTCTCTGAAGGGTTGATGACTATATTTATAATAGCAAAGTAATTAATAAGTAAAATCCTTTATTGTAAGTCTAAAAGGGTAATTAACCAGATTATTCTCAAACAAACCTGGTCTAATAATCCTTTTACCAATATCACAACGAACGTATCCTTCGTATTCCTCACAATTCCTGAATCCAACCGCTTCATACTGTAGTCTTTGAATTATTGGTATAATTCCTGCTTGATGAAGCCCACCAAATAACATTGCAAATATGGCATTAAATATTACCCATGAAAGCTTCGAAATAATAAATTAAAATTCAGGATCGGAAATTACAATAAGAAAGATTAAAGATTTACATTGTCTATGGTAAACATACCCAAAATAATTTTGGTAATTTTTGTAATCTGTCTGAAGGTACTACTATAACAGAAACTAAAAGTGGTAAAAGAAACCTTGGTTCTTGGTGCGGTATCAATGAAAGTAATATGAATCCACACAGACCACTATAAATAATAACTATTAAAAGATATAAATTATGTTTGTCAGAAATGATTATAAAAATAAATTTTATGGATAGTAAATATTGCATGAGTAGGTCATTATGCATTATTTTATACTTTAAAGCGTTTGAAGTACCCAATTACAATCTTTACAAATATTAAATAAAAGCACAAGCCGATAATTCATCTTCATGACAGAAAATGAAGGTAAAA